AAAATCCGACCCTAAGAGGTACTAAAACACAGATTCCCGAAACGGTACAGTTTTTGACTAAAACAGTTTCAAGAAAAACAGCAGCTACGGTTTTCAGCCAAACGGGGCCTTTAGAGGCCGAATTTCAACTTTCACCAAAAATGACAATTTTAGATCTCGACGAGATGAGAAATTTTCATGAAGAACAAAATTTTTAAATCCGACTCGAAGATATAGTAAAATGCAGATTTCAGAAACTGCACAGTTTTTAACGAGACAAAACTAAAACAGTGTCGGTTTCAACAAAAAGTTATAAAAGAACCCGAGATAGAATTTCAGTAAAATACAATGACATTAATCCTCATTTTAATGAAAGTATTCATAAAGGAAGTTTTCAAGAAAAAATGCTTTCTTTAAAGAACTTAGTGGGTTATCGAGCAAATCATCCCGATGGGCACCTACGAGCCCAACACGATAGATCCTTAGGATTTTGAGGATTTGATGTGGGTCCAACATCCGCATTGATTTAAGAGACTCTGTTTGAGTTTAAATTTCAGCGGCCTAAGAGTTAGAATGCCGTTAATAAGTTTCTAGGCCGAATTGGGCCTTAATATCATAATAAGTCCAATGAGGAAAATTATGGAGAATAAGTTACTAGATTGGGTAAATGATTTTCAATCTAGACATAAGTATGTTAAGGGCAATTAAGGAAAATAAAATTTTGAGGATCTAATAAATTGATCCTTATAGTAAATTATCCTTCAGAAAATGAAAGGAATACAAGCTGCAGCATGAGATAGCATCGCATACACATAAGCAGCACACATGAATTATATGTGCTTAAGTTAATTTAATGTTATGTATACTATGCTAGATCATACTGCATACACTTAAGCAGTGCACACGAAGTATATGTGTTTAAGTACATTCCATGTTATAGTATGCTATGCTATGTCATATTGCATACACCTTAATAAGTCAAGAGGAACTTATAAGAATAATATCAATTGAGTGCCGTACCAGCCTCCACAAGGGAGGTAACTCCAGCTCCACAAGGGAGAAAAAGAAAATAACAATAATGTCCTCCGACTCAAGGGAGGCATTCAAGTTATAATCACGGTGTCGTGGGGGACCTTGCAAACCCTCACGTTC